GGTACGGAGTTCATGATATGACGTTGTCCGTCACTACTACATCAAGTAATGAAATTCCCATCACCATGGGGAATCTGTCAAATTTGAGGGGAACATCATACAGCTAGGAGTATTACTATGGTAACAGATACGAGTGCTGTAAATAAAGTTGAAGAAGACATAGACCAAACCACAACGGAACGAGGAAGGACAGATATAGACTTCCTGCCAGCATAATATGCTGGATTATGAAGTTTATGCGTATAAACTTCTAGTATATTATGTTGGAACTCCAGCACACTTTGCTGAAATCTCATATATAAAAAATTCGAACTCCAGCATATTATATTAAAAATTTTCTAGATTTTTAAGCATATTTTTTTTTCATAATTTATCTTTACATGAAAATAGCTAAATTATGATTACTTTAAAATTGTATCTATTTTTCAATTACCAATTGTAAATGAGATAATTTTTTATATTTTTTCCCAAAGCATGCCATGGTTAACAAGTAACAACTGGATCTTCCGCTGTCCCTAACAGCAGCAATTTATTTTGTTGACTAAACAACAAAAATGCTTTATTGGAGTTTGTTTAGCCCTCCTTTGATAGAGGAGAAACAGGCCCTTTATTCTTTTCAAATTTTAACAGATGGAGTACTTTCTTTTTTTTTTTTTAATTTTATATCCATCTGATTCCTTGGTAGTTCAACTTCTTTTGGAAAACATGCTCTGTTATTTTGTGTCATGGGACCATGACAAATGTCCATATTCCACACAATTACAAATTATACCAACCATTTGTTCTTTCTTTCTTTACTTTTTATGTCACTTTTTCTCAAGTATTTCTTCTCTTCTACTCATCCTATATTTTTTTCCACTGCCATCACTACTCTTGCACTTAATTGATTTTCCTCTTTTTATTCTGATTTTTCTTCGCATTTTGGAGATACCCATTTGCCAGAAAGGGCTAAAGCTAAGCCTACATGTGAAGATTTTTCCCCCCTGGTATGCTTTGTTGTACACAAAATTTGTTTACTCTGTTTTGTGTCTCAAGTTTACATTTTTATGTGTTATTCTTTGTTTGAGGTGAAAATATGTATCTGGGTACTATTCAGTTTCTTGAAATTTGAAATATAAATTAGAATCTGTCTGGTAATGGGGAAAAGCAATCAAAGGTTTCTGCTTAATTGATTATTAGTTCCTTCATATTGTTTCTGTGAGTAAACCCCTCTAAACATTTTACAATTTTGTAGCTGATGATCTGTTGCTGCCCAGTAAAGTCATATTATTAGGACATTCTTATTCTGACTAAACATACAAATAGGTCTGAGCCAGTTGAATATCGCTACAGTTATAGAAGTTTGATTGGAAGTGTACTGTGTGCATAGGGTGTAAACTGACACCTATTTTGTTCATAGTGTAAAGCACTCCATGAACATTAGGCTAAGTGTACTACAGAATTGGACATGGTGGAAATTGTTGGGATAGCTTTTCAGGGTTAATCTTTTGGGTGGACGGATGTAGAGCTTGAGTTATGGTTTCATTCAAATTCAGAAGCTTTGGCTCGGACCGTGTATATGTGTGAAAACATTTACAATATAATACAAATAATTGATCCACCCAGTAAATCATAATAAGTTGTGTTAAATTTTGAACTCGAACCCATAAAGTCCAAATCCTGAATCCGCTCTGAGCAGTAGCTAACGTGTAAAATATGTAAGCTGTCAGATAAAATCTGGTGATGGCTGGAAGGTTTGGGATTATTAATTGCTTACTTGCTAAATTATTTGTAGCTAAAAAATGTATTTCAATTGGAAATTCTGGGAAAACCGTTTATTTCTTTGCTCAGATGAAGTTTGTTTTGTATTGATTAATTCCTGATGTACTTTCTGTTAGTCAAACAGGTAGGCTGTGTTAAGCGCTTTCAACAAGTCGTTGAGCGCTTGCGAGTATATGCGAATAGTCTTTTGTTGGCCCACTGCACCATTATTTCATTCTCATTTTCTGACTATTTGTATTTAGTTATTCCAGTCAGTTGTAGTTCAATAGTGCATTGGGTAAGAAGCACTTATATCTTGTTATGGTAATATAACCTACGCTCAGCAGGGTTTAGTCCATATATTTGCCTTAGCTAGTTCACCTTGAGAACGAAAAAGTAATGTATTCACAAACATTATGGCTTGATTTTAGGAAGAAATGATCACACATTGTCCTTCTAGAGTTGTAGTCAACCAAAATCGACCCAATGTGAAATGTGAAGTAAATTTGAACCTGAGACCTCATGGTTTTCAACCACTTCATTGATCATTGGATGCTATTCTTAATCTGTTATATAACTTTAGTTCCCCTTTTTATTTTTATTTTTATTTTGTATGGGTGAAAGGACTTGTTGTCAACTTGATCAGTTGAATGAATATTTTCATGGATAATGCTACCATTTGAAATATCTACTTTCTATTTCACCCTCTGATGCAATAGAATAAGAGCCTGCCGTGTTTTAAATAATAAACCTTCAATCTGGATTTTTTTTATAACTAATACTGTTCCATGTTCCATTTGTTGTAATTTGCAGCAGAGTAAGACATATATAACAAGCACCTGCAATGGGTTCTGCGGACTGGCTTAAGAATGTAATTGGTATGAGAAAAGCAAAGGATGGGAAATCAAAAAAATTAAAGGTAAGATACCATACTTGTCTCTTTTCGCTGATGAATTGCCTTAGATATCCGTACTCAGTAGTAGAGTTACATAATGTAATAGTAATTGTGGAGAAGAAAGGGAAGGTGTTAATAGTGTATTTAGGATCTTAGGAACAAGCAGGCTGCTGGCTCTGATTATCTAGGTTAAGACTTTGTTCTTTTCTCTGTCCTTTTTCCTTCTTTTCTTGTTACCTTTTCTTTTGGATCGAATGAAACACTAAAGACTCCGAATGGTGTTTCAAACAAAATTTGTACTCTTTAAGGCCACAAGTTGTATCATTAATTGATATCCTGCTGTCACAATCACTAGTTCGTGACAACTCATTCCTTCTATATTTTCATTATCAATTTTAGAATCACCGGTACTTTGTAAGGCCAACTGGATTTCACATTTTTAGTTTGAAACAGGGAACGTCAGCAATCAAAAAGTCTAATGGATGCAAAGGGGATGATCCCCTGCAGAAAGAGCCATCTAAAATAACCAATGGTGTCTTGATCAAGAATCAGAGGGAACTGGGAATGCCTATTGATGACAGAGCAGCTATTAAGATTCAGAAAGCATTCCGTGCTTACGTGGTAAAAGCATAGTATTTAATTATTATTTATAATAACATATAGATGTTTTTCTAATTTATTCTTCTTGCGATTAAATATTTCCTGAGTGACTTTTTTCTTCTAGTAACTTCTCTTGAGACGCAATATTGCAGTTATAGAGTGAGATAAACCTTCATTTCTGTCTACGGTCCTGATCGTACACTCCCAAAATTAGGACACTAACAAATTAAGGAACCGCATATGTGCATTTTATCATTTTTATGTATCTGAAACATCCCAATTGTTCCCAGCTCACATGCAATTCATCTTTATGGTTTCTTTTGTATCTTTGAGTGGGGTTGGGGCACCAGGGAATAGGATTCTTAAAATTATGACTTTACTTTGGAACATGCTGGTGAATTGACTGGTATCTTATTTCATGGCATGGGAAAAAGCCGTCTTTCGTATTGCTGTGACATCAGATGGATAAAATAAAACTATGACTTTAGTTTGGCCTTTGGCGCATGCTGATATTTACTGGTAAGTTATTTCATGGCACGGGCAAAAGCTATCTTCTGTTATTACTGTGACAGAAGATGATAAGTAATGCATTTCCCGTCAGATCATTTTAATCATGCTAAAAAATAGGATCGCGGTCTCAAAAAATGGAGAAAAGAGAGGTATCATATCCTGCATAATGGTTTGGGTGTCTTTTCTCTACTGCCACTGCACTTCTTTGATCACTCCTTTAACGAGTGAAATCCTTTAATATTACTTGAAGTAAAATATTCACTATCCTGACAGTATGGCTTATTGATTTATTTGGTACAAATTGAACCACTGATGTTAGATGAGTGTTTCTATAAACTCAACATGCAGTGAGAGACTTAGGTTCGGATTGCTACGTGAAAGACTGTTGTATATGGTTTGTATTCTTTTCACTCAACAAAAGGGCTATCAGATTGTGCCCTTCACGGTGTCTCAGCTAGATGTTGGACTTTTAGACCAAAGATCCATTTAATCAGCTGATAAATTGTGTAACAAGTAAGAGTGGGAATGTATCTTTCAAACCTTTGTAACAACTACAATAACTACTACTGCGCCTTAGCCCCAAACTAGTTGGGGCCGACTATATGAGTTCTCATTGACCATGTTACTCCATTTAAACTCATCTCAGGCCAATATTATCTGGTTCTTATTGGTGTCATTTTCTCTTATCTTACATGATGATATTCTCTTGCTATTGTCTGAGTCATCCAAAGAAGGCGCTTCAAGTCTTTAAGTTGAATAGAGTTTTCTCCTTTTGCAGGCTAGGAAAACATTACGTCGATTGAAAGGAAATGCAAGGTTACAGTCCCTGACACAACGTCTGTCGGTGAAAAAACAAGCTTCATCAGCTTTGAACTATATCCACTCGTGGAACAGGATGCAAACTGAGATTAGAGATCGCCGTGCCCGTATGGTAACAGAAGGGCGTCTTGAGCGGAAGAAGCTGGAGAATCAATTGAAGCTAGAGGCAAAGCTTCAAAATTTAGAGGTTAGTCAGCGATGCTCTTATGCTCACTAATTGTTTATCTTACCATCTTTCTCCCCAGTCTTTGAAGCCTCCAAATCATTATTTGCTAGTTCTCTTTCCGCTGTCAAGAGAGTTCTTTCCTTGATCTTTCAACTGTTATTATTTCTGTTGACCCACAATAAAAGATCTATTAATTCTTTAAGAATAAATGACTGTTTGTAGAAGGAATGCATGGAACTCCATTAATAGAAGTCAGATATCCCAAACTCACTGTATCAAAATGAATGCCTCAGCTATCTTGGATTGTGGATATTAGTTTAAAGTAGGATATTTTATAAGCTTAATTATCCCTGTTTCTGAAACTTATTTGGAGTTGAACTTTACAACTTTGTAATCACTCTCATATGAAGATACAATGGAGATTGGTCTAAGTGGTTCCTGTGGCCCATAGCAATCCTATAACACTTGAATGAGTTTACCAGAAATCTAGAGGTGCAAGAGTATAGATAAGTGAAGTTTTAGCATTTATGCTTTTTAATCATTTCCCTTCGTATTTGATTCACACCTAGTGAAGTTTCTAAAACATGGAACAACTACAATTTCATCTTAATTGAGAATGTTTTGCTTTAGCTNAACGACGACTAGTAGGTGTAGTGAGTAGTGGTGGTAGTCGTTCGTTTCGTCGTAGAGTACGCACTTGTTTCGTTCCTTTATTTTTCCAAACTCTTCTTATCTGAGATGGTAAGTTATTCATCATGGTTAAAATGTGTATAGATGTCATATCTCATTCAAGAGTATTTATATTATAGCTTTGAGTGCCCAGAATAATCCTGTTCCGATGTCTATTATTGCGGGGTGCTTTTTTATTTGTATAGATTGTTTTCTTCCTTGCCGATCACAAGGCAAGTCAGCAGCTTTTCTAGAATTACATATCTATTTGAAACAACCTCTCTATCTTCTCAAGGTAGGGGTAAGGTTTGTGTATACTACCCTCTCCGGACCCCACTTGTGGGATTACAATTCTTCCGACGAATATATATTTGTGTCTTTTTGTGTGTCCCTTTCTCCTTTTCAGATTAGCATGCAGTGGAGAAGAAGCAGTGTCTTCAGTAACAGGTATAATGTTGCTTTGACAAAACGCAGGCCTAAAAGATTAAATGAAGCAGCTTAAATAAGTGAATTATTTTCCAGTTGTCTCCTTTTATTTTCCGAGTCACATAGTAATTTAGAAAGCAAAAAGTTTGCCCCAAGTGTGAAGGAAAGGAGCCACTTCTATGTGACACTAATATGGTGAAGAATGAACTGAGACTGTCTTGAGAATTTTCCTCTGTTATGTTCGAGGTTATAATTCAAGTAAGATCACTGTAATCTAAAACTTAGCTCCGTTATATGGATATAGCATTGTCTTAAAGTCAAGTTACGAGAAATCAAAGTTATTTCACTGATGTTTAACTGATGTCTTTACGTTATTTAACACATGAATATTTATTCACACTTTTTGTTTAGATCAAATCAAATAACTTAATCTGAACGGTTAAATTAAGAGTGAGACTACATATCATTTAATCATTAATAACTGATAACTTTTATTTTTAATATTTCTGTAAACATCGCTACGAATAAATTTTTACCATTCCAAGCATGTAGATAATAGGAATTACGTGGAGGAGGCCGGAAAAAGGTAGATAAAATAAATGTGTTTGCAATAAATTTTCAAGATATGAAAAATAAACTGCAATCACAAAATAAGAGAAAAATATTTTTACTAATCAATTGTGAGTATAATTCTGTTTCTCCTGATTATCCCCGTGATTCGAGGGTTGAAACCGCGTATTTCTCGAATGTAGGATGATGCAAACCTCCTGGGATATATTTGATCTCCAGCTTCTTGAACTATTTGATTGTCAAGAAGTATCCGGCCATATTTTGATCTCTTTGTGAATATCACAAGAGGTTATGGGATTTTGAGGCACCTCTTCAAGAGAATATGTATCCCTTTATATAAGTGTGAATTAGGGTTTAGGTAGATTAACTCCAAGAAACCCTAATAGACTCCTAGGATTTCAAGAATCGTGTAATATCATTAATTTATTATTTCGCTTGATTCCTTAAAATATCGATGTCTACAAAATGTTTAAAAGCCTAAGGGGAATTACACATAATAGCTACATAAAAGTTCTTGATGAATCAACTAATTGAAGTTAATTATGCAAGCTGTTCCTCTTAGAGCCTTCTCGGCTTTTAGGCTGAGTAGAGTTAAGGCCGTGACGAAGGAAATGTTCATGGATTAAATTAGAGAAAACCAAAAATGTAAACAAATCGCGACTAATAAATCTGGTACAATATTCTTGAATTTTAATTGAGAGCTACTCATTTTCAATATGATGATTAATTGAGTGGCTAAGGTTAGCATCGACAATTTAGATAAAATATTTCTTTTCTTCTTCTAGATCCGAGGGTCTTTCGAAAACAGCCTCTCTATCCCTTCGGAGTAGGGGTAAGGTCTGCATACACACTATTCTCCCCAAATCCTACTAGTAGGATTTTACTGGCTAGTTGTTATTATTCTCGTTGGGAAAGTTATTCTTATTTTCAGATAAACGAATTTAATTTGTTTCATCTATCTATTAGTAGTAAGTTCTTCAAGCAAGTTGGGAAAACAAAAATCCTTTCTCGAATTTTCAGTATTCTCTTTTATATTGCAAGTGAAATTACAAAGCTCCAAATTAGTACTTTTTTGTAATTTTCTGATACATACCTACTGAAAATTCCAAAACCTTTTTCGTGACAAAAGCATCTCTTTGATAATTTACAGAAATTAAGGGCCCGTTTGGCCATAAAAAGATTTTCACATTTTAAAGGAAATTTTTTCCTTTTTCTGAATCGGCGTTTGATCATAAAAATTTTAAAATTCACTTGAAGTTGAATATCGAAATTTTTCAGAAATTTGAAAAACTCCAAAAAGCTGTTTTTCAAAATTCTCAATTCAAATTACTCATAAGAATTTTAAAAACAACTCCAAATTATATTCGTGTCCAAACACAACTCTAATTTCAAATACCATTTTCTCTTGAAGGAAAATTTTATTTTTTTTAATTTCACAATTCTTAAACGCCCACTTATAAGTTTTGCATGTCAAACACTTGCCAAATAAATTTCTTACATTAACACATCTTCAAGAGCTATTTTAATAAACCAACGGATTCGTGATTCATAAATACACCTGGAACCCCTTATTAGCTTCATATTATGGAAAAGATAGTGATAAAAATCATTAACTGATTAAATTTCTATTAGTCAGACATAAACCTTATGGTAATAATACCCTATCAATTTAAAATATATTTTTCACAAATACATTGGAAGATTAATTTTTTGTTTTTGTTTTGAGGAAAAGGTATTCACATGCTATAGTACTGGATGATAAAAGACCATGAAAAGATTAAAAGGATTCACGTGCTATAGTAGGCATTGAGAAGACCATGCACATGCACGCATGCAATTTGTTCTTGTACCTTGAGCCTAGGAGGGCCTCATGATCAATTAAAAAAAGTCTTTAATTTAATTCCCCATTTCATCTTAAACCCGTTGTTATTAGAAGCCTTTATCGTAAACGTTGGTCATGCAAGCAGGGAGAGCTAAATAGTATAAATAGAGTTCAATTAAATTCCCTTCATTATGATGTCGAATCCTCTTGATCATGCATGCAAGGTTATACTTGTAGGTTCAAATCTTAATATTTTTTTGAATCACCTTATTAATATTTCTCGCTCGGCCGTGCATGCAACGCCTCAAGTATCAAGAACAGAAGAGGGTAGAGGTCGCTTTCATTTTCTGAATTTACTACTGGCATACTGTAAACAAGGGACGCTTTAAACTTGGTGATGATTTGAGGCTAGTGTATTTCTGGCAAGCAGGTTAATTAAAGTAACAGATGAACAGTATTATAACTATTTGTACTGATGGCTGTGCAGTGAACACTGATCAATTTATGTCATAAAAAGTGAAAAGTGAATCCCAAAGAGTAAAACGAATTAGCTCTTTTCCTTGTTGGGACACTGGATAATCAATGCCTGAGGTGTGGTGAGAGGGTTGGGGGTGGCAGGTATAGTTGTATTTCATTATTTGGATAATGCAACCATCGTGGAAGTAGGAGGAGATTCAATGTTAACCTTAAACTGACAACAGAAAATACTAAAATTTACAAGGATCCTTCAATTCTTCTTAATCCCAAGATAAAGAAAAACAAATTTCCAAGATATTAGAGAATAGTACAATTTACTCCCCGGTCCACAATAATTGACCAATTTGGTTTTTATTTTGGTCCAAAATAAGTGTCCATTTATATAATTAAGAAGAAATTCAATTTGTTTTCCAAAATTATCCTTATCGTACGTATACCCTAAAAACGTCACACTTTACTCCTCAAATTTGAGAAGAGAAGTAAGTTGCTATTTATAACTATGGTGCAGCAGTTTAATGAAGTAAGTATGAGTTTTGAATACATGCTTATACTACAGGAAATAAAGTTTCAGTATCTGTGTGACCTCTAGTCGCCAACAAAGTAAGTTTCAACGACGACTATATATCACTACTTCGAGCAGGTACCTACCTGAAATCTATTGTGGCGACTTGGCATTTAGTTTTTGGTGTTGACTAAAGAGGTTCGCACGGAATATTATCATTGAAAACCTTGTTTTCTGTAGTGTTAACTCTAGTTTATACTTGGGTTTTTCACCCATATATAGGTTCTAAACATAAATTGTGAGTTATGTTGAACTTGTAGCACCCATCTGGTTCACCGATGCCTTTTCTCCCCCATTGCATAGAATCCTCGTTCCTTAGGCAAGCTACAGTGTCTATGTCTTAGCTGACTAAGAGGCACGTTAGACTAGTAACCATATCGAAAAATGAACTTGTGTAAGTGATGGTATTTCCCGCAATATAGATAGGGAATGTTGCAAATGGTGAAAGGTGACAAATCAGGGGCGGATTTAAGGGGAGAAAGGGTATTCACCCGCACCCCCTTCGCCAAAAACTTATACTGCATATGTGTCAGGCAAAATCTATTTTTAAACTCTATATATTATGTTTAGAATCTTCTTGGCATAGCCAAAAGCATAGCTTAGTGGTCAAGGGGGTTCGAAAGCCTTTGTAAGGTCATTGGTTCTATTTCTACTAGCTACAATCTTTTTAACTTTATCCTTTTTTGAACCCCTTGGCGATAATTCTACCTCCGCCGCTTGTGAAAATATTGAGTGTTTTTACCAGAAGTAACGCATCTGGGCTTCAGAATTTACTGAGAACCAGCCCTTTCTTTTGCAATGCTATGGGAACCAAGAAGGAGCATCTTTTTTAGACACAGACTTGGATACTTGTTGGGGTGGGAAGGAGTAGTAACTGTTCACACTTAGGGGTCGTCTGGTTTGAATACAGTTTATGCCGGTCGGATAAGTTATGCTGGGATTAGTTATTCTGATATTGTTTTTTATCCAGTGTTTGGTATGTTGTATTAAAAATGACAATTGCATAATTTCTAAGAAGAAGATATAAGTTATTCCGGCACTAATTACCCCACCCTCTACAAGGTATAAGTTATCCCGGTACTAATTTTAATCCCGGGATAACTTATACCGTGTTTGCTAACCAAACAAAGTATTAAGGTGGTATTAAATTTTTATACCATACCTTCTTATACCTCATACCAAAACCCCTTAGAAAATTATCTACGCTCTCATATATTACATTTCCAAAACCTTGGGATCATTTATCCCATACAGAAGGTGAAATTATAATCTTATAATCTCGGAATAACATGTCTTGAAAACCCCTTTAATTTTTAATCTCATGTATCTATCTGAGGAAATTAAAGTACCAAATGTACTATTGGTATCTTTTCCCTGTTGGGCCTACATGCATGAATTTAAAATGGTCTCTGTTCACACATACTCAAAAATTTGTTGTTATGTAGTATACTTTATCTGGCATGCATATATGGTAGGGTCATATTTAAGCAAACTGGGGGACACACCTGAAAGTCCCATGCTCTTCTATACTTGTATATTTGTACTTGCTTTTGCTCATTCTATTATAACATACAAACTGATTTCGCACAATTTTTTAACCTTACAGTTTGCTTATGCAAAGTTATACTCCCTCCGTTTCAGTTTA